ACAAGCCTCTTGCAGTCATATCTGCTGCTCCAGGCTCAGCAGGTTGCATTTCCTTTTGTACATTCCCTCCTGGGCACATCTGCCCCATGGTGTCTCACACGTTAACTGGACACTCACACCAGGACCAGTGGTTCTCTCCCCATGAGCACAGGCTGGGCCTGCCCCTGGGGAAGCCACCCCACTCCCACCCAGCTTGCTGCCTCAGGGGCTGCAGCTGTGCAGAGGCCAAGCCTTCCTTCCCTGGGGCTGAAGCCCCTGATGTTCATAATGTTTTACTTGAAATCAGCTGTTCCCATTCTTGTAGCAATAAAACTCCTTGAGCCATCCAGCACTACTCCTTTTTTCAAGCGAACACCTCCCCAGCAGCGATGGCTCCACGCTGGGGGCCAGCATGTGTCTCCGCAACATTGCTTAGTGCCACTGCGGCGGGATGATGGAGCTGCTTTCTTGCCAACAGATGTTCTCTGTGATTCCTGCAGGACAGCTGAGCTCACCTCTTGAGCTGGTAGCAGCTAAGGAAGCTCTGATCCAAACTGAACTGGTTTGATTCTTGGAGATGGCATCATTTGCTGCTCTCCTAAAAGGAAAAGCCTGCCCGCTCAGAGCCCCTGGAAAATGTTGGTCTCTGCTTTTTACCTTATTCCCCACTCCAGTCTTACAGAGCTGTCTGGGGAAGAGGTCATGAAGGTTCTCCAGCTGCTGCACAGCCATGGGGGTAGCCCCAGGGAGGTACCACCAGGGAGGCTGGGCAGGTAGCCAGTTCTCCCTCTAGCACACACTGTTGCCTACATGTGACCCTGGTCCCATAGCATGAGTGCACAGGTGGCATCAAGGATAAATTTGTGCACCAGTGTGCTGCCAACCTCCTGCTCAACAGCTGAGGATCCCAGCCTTGTTCTCATGATGCAAGAGCAGGGTTAGGGGGAAGGGAAAAAGTCTGAATAAAGCCAAGACTGTTCCTTAGCCTCAAAGCAGCAAGTGACTCTGCCTCCAGCATCACTTACTAGAAAAAGGATTTATTTCCACAACACAAATGTAACAAACACAGACAAATAAGTACAAATAACCCAGCTGATAAGTAAGGGGAAACCTAAAACACAATGCCCTACCTAGTTCTTCTCAGAAGCCAGACACAGGTTGGGGTGGTGGTGGTACCTAGACACTACTGCAGCACCTCGATTGCTGAGGCGGGAGGAGACACAACACCGCTGTAACCCCTTCTGGCAGGCTGCCAAGCAGAACCGCCTGCCCTGCACCCCAGCACCTCCCTCATCACACCCATGGGGGGCTGCATGCTCTTCCAGGCTCAGTCTTCCCTTCTTACACCTACGGTGAGAATTTGTCTTAGCAAGGACCACCCGGACCGCTGGGGACTGACTATACAACAGAAAATGCAACGGGCTCCTACCTTCTCACACAGAGGGGCAGCTGGTGCCTTAAATGACCAGGGATATGGTAACGAGTTGGGCAGCTTGGGGTACAACCAGTGGTGTCACTAGGGGGGCTAGGACTGAGCACACTGGGGGTGGCAGGGCAAGCACCACAGGGACAGGATAAGCTGGCGCTACACGCAGATCTCAGGACGGTGCTCAGCGCCAGTGACCACAGCACTCAGCCAGCTGAGGGGATCTCTCCCTGGTAGCGTGGCTGCTCCCAGGGCCAGGATAACCAGGCCCTCATTGCAGGCAGGGGTGCTGCCTGCTATGCTCAGGGACCCAGCCATCATTGGTCCAGGTTGCAGTGCTCAGGGTGTGCTGGAGCAGCGGGACCAGCCTCTGTCCCAACACCTCTGGAGGCTGCTTGGTATGGGAAGGTAGAGGCTGGAACAGCTGCAAGAGCTGAGGGAGGGAGAAAGGAGAAGTTAGCACCAAACTGCACCCACAGAGGAGCCCCCACAAACCCAGACAACCACAGGTGCAGGGGGAAGTGCTCTGTTTGCTCAGGCCCAGTGCAGAGCCAGCAGCCCCATGCTGAGAGCGGCTCACCACAGCCACAATGCACAGAAGCTAAATCATCTTCCCAGTCAGCAGGGACCAGGCTGCAGCTCCCTCCCTAGCCAGACACAGGCAGGCAAGTGGGGACATCTCTGCCACCCCAGCCCTCTGCCCACTCACGGTGACGATTCAAGGCGGGGGCAGCGTCTCTGTTCAGGTGCTGGCTCCTGGGGACCGCTCACTCCCAGAGGAAGCGCACGTACCAGATGGTCTCATTCTTCAGCTGTGGCCCGAACAGAGGGTTGGCCTGGGCCAGGATGGCGATGAGCCAACTGCAAAGGGACACAACCTCCCGTCAGCCCCAGTAGCATGGGGGCAGGGACCAGGATGCTGGAATGCTGCTGCCTCAAGGGGCTGGCAGAGGGACTGCTGCCCCGGGGAGTGACATGCCCGGGGGGGAGGTAGGCCGCAGTCCGGG